TGTACTGTAAGGAAAGTGACTTGTTACCCCCTGTAAACAGAAGGGAAGCGAGCAGTCATGAGGGAGCATCAGCCAAGAATTGAGTTGATCTTTACAATCTTTTTTTTTTTTACATTTTTTCTGTTAATAAAGCCAAATCCCCAGGGTGGATGCAAGGTGAGTTTGGACTGTGGAAATTATGTCTGTGGGTCAGGAAGGGGGTAAACATCTGCTCATAAGAAAATAACAGATATCCTGCAAGCATATCATAACCATCAAGAAAATCGACTCATCGATGAAGCACAGCTGGCTGAAGCTAAATCCAAGCAAGCCAGAGGTGGTGCTGGTGGATTGAGGAAAGCAATCGAAAGAGTTCACAGACATGGTTCAGTCTTCTTTGGGCCTCAATATACAGCTGCACTTGATCAAGTTAGTCTGTAGTTTAGACATGTTCCTGGACTTCTCACTGAACGTAAGTTCTCACATTACTGTATCCAGTTTCTACTATCTCAAGTTGCCTAGGAGACACCATCTTGTCTTGGTAGATGATGACCTGGACATGATTATACACAACTCTGTCACCTCCAGTTTGGACCAGGGAAATGAAATATATCTGGACAAAACATCATCAGCCCTTAGGACACTCCAACTCATACAGAATGCTGCAACAGTTCTCAGCAACACAGGCTACTGTAAGATCACCACACTACCCTCTGCTCCCTATACTTGAAATAGTGTGGGAAACCAAGTTCAAGGTCTTTGTCCTGATCTTCAAGGTGCTTCACAGTTTATGCCCACGATAGCTAAACAGATCTCCTATTGTGAAGAATATTGTGACTGACAGATCTGCTTCTCAGGCATGTTGGTACTTTCTACCATAAAAGAGTTAAACACGTTGGTTCAGGTGATAGAATTTAAATTTCTCAGAGGCTGGTTGAGACTGTGGCATGAACTCCACACAGAAAATATATACAGCCCTGAGTTTGTTAGGGAAGGCAAGGTTGAAATGTACATAGCATTTAATTTGGAAGGTGGTGAGGTTTGTGAGGATCCTTATTTTCTGTGTGGAATTCACTCCCCA